AAATGGTTAAGCACCATCTCTATAAATGGGTTTACACATCTTTCTGAATCATGGCTTGCTTTAGCTGTGCTTCCTTAAATAAACCACAATGGCTAGGCTAACATCACATTCAGGGCAACTTTTCCCAGTCTAGCCTACAGCCTGGGGGTTGTGTGGTGGCCTCCCCTCCAAGTAGCACAGTGTTGTCCAAACTTGGCCACTTTAAGATGAGTGGACATGCTGGCTGGGGAATTCTGGGAGTTGAAGTCCACTCATCTTAAAGTGGCCAAGTTTGGACAACACTGAAGTAGCCTATAATTTTGACTCTGCTTAGCCAGTTCAGCCAAAGTTGGCTACATGCCGCCCCCTACTGGCAGCAATAATTTTTTTAAAGTAAAGAGCACTAAGGTGGCTGGGGGATTCTGGGAGTTGAAGTCCACACATCTTAAAGTGGCCAAGTTTGAAAAACACTGATTTAGCAACTAGATAGCTACAACATGCTTACTCCAAGGACAGATAATAGATATATATTATAGTGAGAAAGGGCTCCAGAGTGGTCTTTTTTTAAGGCTTGGGGTTATTTTGAGCACCCTTTTTCTTCTCCCATCTTATGAAATCGGTATTATTTCCCCCCGCTGTTTGAAACCATAGTCCAGGAAAAAGTGGATGTGGAAATCTAAAATCTTGATCTGACTCTCAGAGATTGTTTTAATCTCTTTGTTTTTCTGCATGGAATAAAATACATTGACCCACCATATCATTTCAAATACTGAAATGTATTTTGAACATGGTCCCTTCAAGTATAAGTCTTGGGCTGACTGTCTTTCTTTAAAAGAACTTAGCTCTAGGTTCTTTTTGTATCCCGGTCATCACACCTTTACAGTAGTAGCTTCACAAGATTTTTGGTGGAGAACCGAAGAACAAAATGCAGCTTCCTAGAAAATCCAACTCATCCCTAATGTTCATGGGGAAAGACCTTATTTATTGCTCTGGCTGACTGGGGGACACACCAGTTGCAGATTTGGCCACTGTCCAAAAATTAATATATATTTTTTGAAAAGAGAGGTGGAGGCACTCTTCAGTTTTTTCCTATTAATGTAGGGGATACAGGATCTATTTCTGCTTCTGAAATGCTGATCTTCTGGGATCTCTACTACCTGTTGGATGCATCAATTGCCAGTTAATACAGCATCATCTACATTGAGTGACAAATTACGTTTCTGGGCTCTTTCACCTCCAAAGAACTCAGGGCAACAGATGTTGACTTTTCTGCCTGTTTTTATTCTCACCACAATTCTGTGCCTTAGATGAGGTTAAGACATTAAGATGTTTGCATGATATGCTAAGCCACGTTTGGTGGAAACCATGGGTGGGGTGCTTACCTAGCTTACCTGTATATTTCTTTGTCATTTATTTCTTTATCATTTAAAATATTTTGAGCCTGTTCACAAGGATCTCAGGGTAAGTTACAGTTCATAAAATGCAGACGTTAAGGACAAGAAAATACAAGAAAATAGTGCTGAAATACAAATAAGCAGAATACAATAAGAAGAGGCCCAGTTTTTCACAAGGGGTCATAGGCTATGGTCAAATGAGAGATTAAATCTCCTGGTACCCAGGCAGATTCTGTCCGCACTAAGCTAACAGCCCAGAGAAGAGTGTCCCAAGGCTGGGGTGCCACCATGGAGAAGGCCCTGCCCTGTGCCACTGATAATGCCCTTTCTCCCAATTGAAGAGGGCTGCCCCCATGTAACATCTGGGCCAGTACATATTGGGAAAGAGGCCTCTTTGAGTGTCAGGATCCTAAATCTTAAGGTTTTTTTACTTGAGGTCTGGCTGGTGGCAGATACAGACCACTAGTGCATTTCCCTTTGAACCAGCATTATGTAGTCTCTTATTTCACCTTCTTGTCCCCATTGGGCGAGGGATAAGAGCAGAAGAGGCTTCACAGCTGGAGTGACCCCATTTTGTTGCCACTCTGGCCTCCCACCTCCTTGTCTGGAGGCTGGAAGAGGTCCCTGGCACCTTGGTTTAGGTCAATAAACCTGTAATGGGTATAGTTTTACATTGTGATGAAGGCTGTTCTGAACAATGTTGGCCTAGAGCAGGTGATGGGACTGCATTCCCCCTCCAGGGTCTCCTCAGTACCCCGAGATCACCCTGCCAAATTTCTGAAGCAAAACATCTGGATTTCAGCATAGCAATTTCAGACCTTTGGGGGGAATGTGGGGTGATTTTAAGGGTGGGAATGGGACTGGTTTGCCTCTGGGGGGCCTCCTGCTCCCACCCCTGCCTTCTGTGGTCCTTGGGAAGGTTGAGGGCTGACTTGTGGCCCTTAGCTTCTAGGGCGTTGCCCTGGCTCAACATGTTGTGAGAACTTAGTGGCTGGTCCAAGGTCATCCAGGGACTTTCCCGACTAAGTGGGGATATTTGAACATTGGTCTTGAGGATGAAAAGATGTAGTAGAAAGAAACCTCGCTGTTTTCTATTCTGGTAGAATGGCATTTTGTGACTGGGTTCACAAAATCATTCCTTTCTGAAAATTATTATATGATCTCAGCATTGCCCTCTCAAAAAGGAACCCGATTAAGAACAGTCAGATTAGTCTTCCCCAACTTGACCTTCTTCAGGTGTGCTGAGATTTTAATTTCCAGAATTCCAGATGTGCTGGGGTTGCAATTCCCAGAATTCCCCAGTCAGAAGACTCCCTAGGAGTTGCAGTTCCAATGCATGAAGGTACCATGTTAGGTAGATGACTATGTAACAAATGTCACTGAGGCTGGATTCACACAACATCCTGGACTAGGCTAAATGGGCATTGGGTTGCTTAGGGTTCATCCTTCAGCTATTATTGTCCTTAGCATCAAGTAGGAACCATGTTCTATGAACACAGTGACTGTATTTAATTAACTTGGGTTTGGGGTTTAGTGTACTGTGTGAACTCAGTCTGAGGATGGCTCTCCATCTTCCTCCCCCTTCCGTCCTAGCCACCTGCAGACAGACATAAAGAAGGGTTCAGATATGACTGCATTCTGGGCAACTTGCTGGAGGTTGAATGCTAAGTTTCAACTAGGAAAGGATGTTTTCTTTGGAACTCCTGCCTAGGAAACCTCATGGCTTCCCACTACATTTCTTATGGCTGACTTCAGGTGCTATGTAAACAGCTTAAGAGAAATGAACAAACATGAAAGCCAAACATGAATGGAAGTGAGTTGTGGAGAGGGGAAAACCATTCTGCTGTCAAGAGACAGATGAAAAAGTTGATTTAGCTTTTGGAATCCTGTTGCTGATCTTGGCAAATTGTGCAGGAGAGAAGGGAGGCGACGAGCATCTGGGTTTTGTAGCTGGGATCCACAGAACAAAGATCTCCGTTGTGGATGTGGCTTCTCCAGGTGTCCTGTGAGCCTGAAAGAATTCCGCGATGGGTAATCTGTTGCAGTCAGTGATGGATCTCAACTGTTGAGCGACCATGTTGTGGGTGCTCCCACGCAGTGGCTGTGGGGAAGCCTCCCCTGCCCCGATCACCCCACGGCTGCCCTTTGACCTCAAGTGCAAATGTGCTGGGGTTATGTTATGCCATGCTCCTTGGTTTCACAGGGGGTTCCTGTTCATTCCAGGGTCCTTTTTCTGGGCAGGTGCAAGGCCAGCATTGCACTTAAGCGGGACTTAATTAGCTGGTAGTTAAAGTTGAATTCTGTGTATTTGCCTATGGCAGTGTTGTCCAAACCTGGCCACTTTAAGATGAGTGGACTTCAACTCCCAGAATTCCCCAGCCAGCATGGGTGGCTG